GGATAACAATTATCCAATTGGATTGTGTTAATTCCAATTGGGACTTATTTGACCAATCAGAATGCAGTATTAACAGGTTTCTGGACAACTGATTGATAAAAGTTATAAAGTTAAAATGCGCCATTTTTGCACAATGGGTGAGAGCATATGACAGGCTGTCCTGCTCTGAGTTGTTTTGTTCATAAAAAGTAAGTATTTTATCAATTTTGTGTTCAAATTCCTAAACTATAATACAATACTAAGCCTGGTCCTTTCTTAGACTTTTTTTGAAATGATTATTGGTGTTAGATTAATTAGAAATTGAATTTAAAAATTGAACATTGCCAGCCAAATGCCATGGGTGACCTGAGGGGCCTAGAATAGTGCAGTGTATAGCCTTCCTTAGGCATGAAGGCCATCAGGATGGGTAGATATAAGGCTGTGTAGGTGGGGCTAGGCTATATCTGCTACATATGCCATATCGTTAGGCCTGTCCAAACTCAATAATAACAGGGTAATGATTAGGCCTAGCCTAGGCCTAGTTCAGATTATTTCATATTTGTTTTAAACTTTTTTATTTTTTTTAAATTTAAATTTTTTGATTTAGATAGTATAATGGCCTAACCTAGGCCAGAAGGGGGATACAATTTTTATTACTAATACTAGGCCTAGGCTAGTATTGGTAGGCCTATGTGAGCCAAGAGGCCTAGCATAGGGAAGGCTAGGCTATATCTCTAGGCCTTTAGTCTAGGCCTAGCCCTAGATAAAGGCATGCTAGGCCTAGTAGTATTGTTTAATTAATTATTGTTGATAATTAATGAATGATTATTATTTTATCATCAGTATCACTATATCAAACTGCTTTTTATCTCTAGGCCTATATTGTTTTTGATTGTTTTTAACAGATTAACTGAATTTTGAAGCCAAGGCTCTGCAAGTATCTGATGTCAGGTATTTTCTGTTGAAACTAAACATTAAATTTTAACTTCAACTTTCCAACAATTGTCAAGGCTATGGGAATTGCAATTTGTGTTTTTGATATCGACCACTCCAAAAATGAATTTGTTCGCCAAAAATGTAAGCGTGCGTTTCAAGATGTCGACCAGGAAAAGAATATTAAAAAAGGGTGAGTTGGATACTTATATATGCATGTAGTACCTCACTCTAGCCATTCGCTAGCGCCACTTAAAATACTTACCAATGAGTACATTTTGGGAAGTATATGTCTTCAGGACAACTGAATTTTTTAAGCTACTTGTCCTAGGACATGTGAAATGAAATTAATTTCCCTCATGCTGATTATCTTTTAAAATTAATCTTTATAATATTATTGTTTTTTTTATTTTTTTTATTAATTTGCGATTTCTATAGCGCCTCCCGTTAAACCAACCTCGAGGCGCTTCACAACAACGGAAGGAAACGGACAAGAGAATAAAAAAACCATGAACCTAGACTAACAAAGAAAAAAGAAAACGCCTAAACGAACCAAACCAACACCGCACCGTTTATCGGCAATTTAAGGCGTAAAAACCCGCCGATGCATGACTCACAGGTGCTCAAGTGATGGCGGTGTCTAGCTAAGCAGTTAAAAGAAGGAAAAAACAAAATAGTGGTAAAAAGTGTCTTAAAGTTAAATTCAGCAAAACTTTCAGTGAAGAGGTGAGTTTTGAACGCTTTCAGAATGTCCGGTGCAGTTATAGAGAACTACTAGGACAATTGCAAAGTTACTGTAACAGCATGGTTAAGAAGATTGCTGACCTGCAAAACTTAAAGTGCCAGTACATAATAATTATTACTGTAGGTATGACTGTATTAACAGAAACCAGATTTAAAATATGTTTTGTGAATAATAGTTTTATATTCCATAACATTATTAGAGCATATTTTTAACGAACAGGCTTTGTGCAGTATTTCATTTTTGTATTTTAAATAAATAAAATAAATGCAAATAACAATTGTTTCTTTTTCTTTTGTTTTTTTCAGTATTTAGCAGTGTTTGTCAACCTCTTTGAAGCCTCATTTGGTTCTGGCATTTTCCAATTGGTGTCCATCTATATATTTTATGTTATCCAATTGAATAAAATTCTAATTGGATAATATTCCAATTGGAAAGTGCCAAAATCCAATGGGATAAAATGGGATTTTGGCACTTTCCAATTGGAATTTTATCCAAATTGGATATAATTCCAGTTGGACAGTGCCAAAATCCAATTTTATCCCGTTGGATTTTGGCACTTTCCAATTGGAATATTATCCAACTGGGTTTATAATATCCAATTGGATAAATCCCAATTGGAAAGTGCCAAAATCCGCTTTTATCCCATTGGATTTTGGCATTTTCCAATTGGAATTTTTCCAATTGATCTAATAACATCCAATTGGAAACAAGTCCAATTGGAAACAAGTCCAATTGGAAACAAGTTCAATTGGAAAGTGCCAAAATCCAATGATGTATTTTCCAATTGGATCCAATTGGAAAGTGCCAAAATCCAATGATGTAATTTCCAATTGGAAAGTGCCAAAATCCAATGATGTATTTTCCAATTGGATCCAATATGATTTTTTCCAATTGGAATGAATTGGCCATTTTGGTAATAAGGGAGTGATAAAATTAATAACAACGAAAACAAAAATGTCTCGATCAATCAAAACAGTATTAGAAGACCTGGATCTACATTTTTTTGTTCCTAAGTTTGAAAGGGAAAGGGTACGTTCTAGTTTTTTTCCACATGATTTTGGTGGTATTTTAGGGCAAATAGAAATATAAGATTATCACTATAGACCTAGTACCGGTATTGAAAACAAAAATAACTAGGGGGACTCTTCTTTATTCCGGATATGAAGAAGCAGGCTTATTTAAATAAAAGAAACGTAATTAATTAATTACCGGTGACCAAACGTTTCCAAACAAATCCGATCCCATTTTTGGCTTACATAGGCCCTAATAAAGAAAAGTTAAACTCAAAATGTCCTCCTCCAGTCGATTGATTTATTTTCCCCTCCCTTTACTGTCAGGTCGTTTTACAAATGCTCCTTCCGTGGTTATCTCGTATTTTGATATTGGTATTTATTTTTTTGTCTTTTTATTTTGTATACCTTTTTAATATTATATAATATATATTTTATTCTTACTTCTTAATTCATACGCAATTCAGCCTTTGTTGCTGCTATGTATGTTTTTGATGTTGAATTTTTAATAAATATACGGTACCTCAAATAAATAATAAAAACTTAGCATTTATATTACAACAAAGATACACATTTGCAGGGGTCCCAAGTTGGAAAAAGGCAATTCGTGAAGCAGGGGTGGAGCCAGTGCAGTGGGAGGGTACAGGGAGAACACCCATCTCTTGGGGAGGAAATCCACAATTCCACATTTAGAACTCCCGATCTACGGCCAATTTGCTTCCGTCTTACGGGCATCTGATACCATTTTAATTGTTATTTAGGGCCTACCATGTTGTATATTTGCCTTTACAGCATTATTATTATTATT